TTGTCAGGCCCAAAACAGGACATTTCAAAGATGACTGAAAGACAAAGAGCAAAATTTCTTGAAGAAAATAAAAATTTAGATGTTAAAAATTCAAAATATTCAGTTGATTCAGATTCAAATGGGTTTTTGGAATTATCTAATGAACCAACAAAGAAAAAAGTTTATACGGAAGAAGAATTACAATTACGTAGAGCAGAAACTGCAAGAAAAAGAAAAAATCTTAGTGAAAGAAGATTAGAAGAAGAAAAACAAGATACTTTAAATAGATTGTTGAAAAGAAGAGCAAATAAAGTTAGAGATATTAAATCTTTAAATGATGAAGATAAACCAAGTATTTTAGATAAACCCAGAAGACCAGTTTTACAACATAAAGCATTGATCTCTTGGAGATCCACAAAGGATAAGTTCCAATTGATTGTACCCGATGTCTTGTAAAAAAATAGATCATTTAATTTTATAGTAATAAAAAATAAATAAAATAAAAAAATAAAAAATGATTTTAATTAGTACATATTTTATATGTAGGCGTACAATTTTAATTAAATCCATCGATCTAATATATATATATATATATATATATATATACCAATTTAAAGATCAAGGAATCAAAATGGAAGAAAGTGATCAGGTTACTCCTTCTTCTTCTTCGAGAAGAAGAAGTTATTCAATAGATGGAATGAGGGTAGAGTTACTATATTGTAAATCAAAATGTTACTTACATCCAACCTCATCTTCTAAAGATAATATCCCAGGTTTTTTAACTTTAACTAGACAACCTTCAAATACATCCAATATCGACATTGTCATTTCATTTGTTCCAGAAAATTTGCTTTCAGATGAAGAAAGACTGATTTATGAAAAAGTTGATATGCAGATTGATACAACAATCTCGGAACACGATGGTACTGATAATAGTGGCAACAACAGTAGCAATTCAAAAAAAAATGTTGTTTATATTAATAAGCCATTGGTTTCATCAATTACTTCTTACTCTTTTGGTATTACAATCTCAAATATATATTCGGTTCAAGTGAGAGCTCCATCAGTTGGTTGGTGGTGGGGGTCCATTATATTTAACTCAAAATCTATGGAAAAAATTCCAATTGTGTTTTTCCATGATGATGAATCTCCAAGTACTATAAAAGAACAAGAATTAAGAAATAAAGATTTTAATATCTTTAGCTCTGAAAACGGTACTAATGAATTGTTTTGGGGTGGAGACCAATTTTTAAAAATTTTGAAAAAATATTGTGTCTTGGAAAAATCATCTTTAGAAAATACAGTATTCTTGGTTAATCCAACAAGTGAAGATATGATTAATTTTGTTCCACCAGTTCAATCTTCCAAGAAAGAAAAATTTAATTTTAATACTTTTTTAAACAATGCTAAATGGAAAATATTGGAGACTTTGGCAAATGTAACAAATAAAACAAGAGATTCAGTGAAAGATGCTGTTGACGAAGCACCAGAACCTATAAAACTGATGTTATTAAAACCTGAAGTTAGACAAATTGTAGATGATTTTGATAGTTCCAAGATTTATTTGGCAAAATGGGCAATGGGGGTTCAAGAAGAAGCTGAAAGATCTAGAAAGAAAGTCATCTTGGATGATTATTATACTAATATGCTTAAAAATGAACTTGGTACGGAAGATTTTAAAAATGCATTGAGTCCTGAAGAAGTTAGTAGGACACGTAGAATAAAGCCAATTTCAAAAGTTGAATGGGAATCTTTTTTTGATCATACAGGTCGATTTTTCATTACTGTTAATGAAATTAAAGAAAGAATTTTCCATGGTGGAGTTGATGAAGAAATTAGACCAGAAGTTTGGTTATTTTTGTTTGAAGTATACCCTTGGGATTCATCACGCTTAGATAGAACCACTATTAGGAAAAATCTTTTCATTGTCTATAGTAGGTTTAAAAATCAATGGGAAGATAATTTTCAATTACAAGAAGAAGACGCTTTTTGGCAAGATCAAAAATTTAGAATTGATAAAGATATTAATAGGTGCGATAGAAATATTAAAATTTTCAAATATAATACAGAATCTGGTGAAAAACCAGATGAAAATAATAAAAATTCTGATGGAATTGATGATGAAGATGATGAGGATGTTGATATTACAAATATTAAAAATCCACACTTGAAAATTTTGAGAAATATTTTAATTACATACAACGAATATAATCAGAATCTTGGATATGTTCAAGGCATGACAGATTTATTGGCTCCAATTTATTATATACTAAGAGATGAATCTTTAAGTTTTTGGTGTTTTACTAAATTTATGATTAGAATGGAAAGGAATTTTTTGAGAGACCAATCAGGTATGAGACTGCAAATGAACACACTAAATGAATTGGTTCAGTTTATGCTCCCTGAATTATATATTCATTTAGAAAAAGCTGATTCAAATAATTTATTTTTTTTCTTTAGAATGCTCTTGGTTTGGTTTAAACGTGAATTTCAATATGATGATGTTCTAAAGTTATGGGAAGTATTATTAACAGATTATTATTCATCACAGTTTCATTTATGCATTTGTTTGGGTTTACTTTCAAAACATGAAAAGATCATTATGAAGCATTTGGATCAGTTTGATCAAGTCTTAAAATATTTTAACGACCTATCCATGATGATAGACTTGGATGATTTATTAGTTAGAAGTGAATTATTATTTTTAAGATTTAGAAAAATGGTGGATATCATTGATAGAGAACTGAGTAACAAAAAAAATAGTGGTACTAGTGATAATAGTGAGGAAAATCCTATTAGTGACGATTTAAGGAGACTACTCAGTAAGAAGTTGGTTATTCAAAGAGAAGGTCCAAGACCTCCTGGAGTTATGGGAGGTTAATAATAAGTGTTTTAAGGTTTTGTGAAATATTGGGTCACTGGCGAAGGTTTAATTAGTTTTATTTTTTTAATTTTTGATTTTTGATTTTTTGTCTTTGTTTTATGTACTTTCTTTTATTATTCTTTATCATTAATTTCAATTATTTTTTTCTTTTTTCTTTTTTCTTTTTTTTTTTTTTTTTTAATGAAACTACATATGAAAAGAGTGTAGATATGATTAGCTATATAAGCTAGTAAATGAAGCAGTAAATAATTGATGGATTTATTATATATTTAATTTCATCTAACAAAGTGGAACATACTATGTGAATTGAAAAAAAAAAAAAAAATAGAAATTTTTTTTAAAAATTTACAAATATAAACCTTCCAAATTTTCTTCAACTTTATTTTTAAGAACTCTTTCTTTTGCAGATGAAAAATCTTCAGCTGTTACTTGCATTCTTCTTTCTCTTAATGCCAATAACCCAGCTTCAGTACATATTGCTTTTATATCAGCACCTGATAAATCATCTTTTGCGTTTATCAATTCTTCCAAATTGACATCATCTGATAAATTCATCTTACTTGTATGAATATTCAAAATTTTTCTCTTGGAAGTAGGATCTGGATTTTCAAATAAAATTTTTCTATCTATACGTCCTGGTCTAATTAAAGCAGGATCTAAAGTTTCAATTTTATTTGTGGCCATAATAACTTTAACATCTCCTCTATCATCAAAACCGTCCAATTGGTTTAATAATTCCAACATAGTTCTTTGGATTTCTCTTTCACCACCTGAAGTTGACTCATAACGCTTTGTACCTATAGCATCAATTTCATCTATAAACACAATTGATGGTGCATGTTCAGCGGCAACTTTAAAAATCTGTCTACATAATCTAGGACCATCCCCAAGGTATTTTTGAATTAATTCAGATCCAACAATTCTTAAAAATGTTGCACTTGTTTGGTTTGCAACAGCTTTAGCCAATAATGTTTTACCAGTTCCTGGAGAACCATATAATATAACACCTTTAGGAGGTTTAATTCCCATTTCTTCATACAATTCTGGATGTGTCAAGGGTAATTCGACTGCTTCTTTAATTTCTTGGATTTGTGATTCCAAACCACCAATATCAGAGTATGATTCTGTTGGAGATTTATCCAATTTCATAACTGATACCATTGGATCTGTATCATCTTGTAAAACACCAACAATTGAAACAGTCTTATGGTGCAACAATACTGAGCAACCTGGTTCCAACAATCCCTTATCAACAAATGACAATATCGAAACATAATACTCTGGGCCTGAAGATGAAGAAACAATAGCATGATCATCATCAATGATTTCTTCCAAAGTACCAATTGACATTGGCGTTCCTCTAATATCATCAACTTTTTCTCTTTCCTCAGCTTGTTTTGCCTCTGTTGGTTGAAAATTCTCTTGATTTGTAACATATTCCTCTTCCAACAACAAATGATCTTTAATTCTTTCCATTTTTAAATATTTCAATTTACATCTAGTATTAGGATATACATTTGGTAATTTAGCTGCTGTGGCAGGTCCTTTTATCTTTCTTCTACCAAATTTGGATTGAACTGGCGGCTCATACTTTGGCTTTTCTTTCTTCTTATCATCTTTCTTCCTATCTTTATTGCCGCCCGGCATTGATGCATCTTGACCCATTTTTTTTTTTTTCTTCCAACTATCTTTCTATAATTTCAGAATAAATTATAATAGTTATATTTTACTTATATAACAAGTGTAAAAACTTATTATATTATTATTGTTGATTGCCACCAACATCGTCAAGCTAATTAATTTCCCCAATTTAAATTTTGGTCCACGACCTTTTGTTCTTTCTTCTTTTCTACTTGTAAACGGAACGAAATGAAATGGTAATCTCTTTTTCCCAATGTTGTGAATGTTAAAAAAATCGAAAAGCAGATCTTTGTAAACCTTTAATTTGTTTTCTATTTTTTTTTTCTCTTCTTTTCAAAAAATCTATTTCTGTTCTTGTATACAATAGTATTAGTTGAATTGTGTTAATTGAGATTTATTGGGGGTGTTTTTTTTTTTCATTGCCATTTTTTAGGCTGATTTGGGTGGTTTCTGGCATCTTACGTTTGTTTCGCGAAGGAACCTTTTATTATCTCGAGGGCGTGTGGTCTAGTGGTATGATTCTCGCTTTGGGTGTGAGAGGCCCTGGGTTCAATTCCCAGCTCGCCCCCTTGTTAATTTTTTTTTTTCTCTCTTTTTATTTACAAATTCATTAGTGAATAAATTACTTTACAATCAGGTACAAACTAATAATAATATTAATAGTAATTATTGATTTGGGTTTTTTTTTTTGGCTGTATGTCCTCAGATTCTGATATTTTGCTTCATCCTCTTACTGTTATAAGTATTTGTGATTATTTTACCAGGGTTACTTTACTGTTGAAGGAAAATGATAAGCAAGGAAAATTATGTTTACCGCCATTGTTAATTGGTGGATTGTTGGGAGTGAGAACAAATAATGGTTTAGTTTCCGTTATTAATTCTTTTGAGATACCATTAAGTGATGAAAAATTAATAGATGAAAGATTTTTAAAAGAAAGATTGGCACAATTTAAGATTATATACCCGAATCATGATTTTTTAGGAATTTATCAAATTGATAATAATAATAAAAAAAATGACAATGGGAATGGAAATGAATTGATAAATATTATAAGTAACTCGATATTGATCAATGAGATTTTACAAAAAAAAGGTAGTTTGGTTTACTTATTAATTGATCCCTTGGCGTTAAATAAAGATGATTATCCTATAAGTTTCCATAATATTACACCTATTGATGTTATTAATAAACGATTATTAACAAATGAATTGAGTTATGAATTTAAAACATTACCAAGTGAAAAAGTTACATTGGACACTATAAATTCTTTTTCTATAAGTAATAATAATAAAAATTTCGAACCTGTGGAGTCGATACAAAATAAAAAAAATTCTATTAAAAATGGATTAAATCAATTAGATAATAAATTAAACATAATAATTAATTATTTAGAAAAAATTGAAGGTAATGATGATGAAATATTAAAAGAAATTAATAAATTTTCATATTATTTAAAATATATTGGAACAAATACAAAATTGAAATCACAATTAGATGAAGAGAAATTAAATTTGCTTATAACAGCAACATCAAATTTAATGTTATTTCTTGATAGTGATTAAATAGAAATGCATCATCATAAAATTCTATATAAGCAGTAAAATAGATTTATAACCATTTTTGATAGCACACCATTGCTTATGTTCACCACAAAGATCAATTTCTTCCTTGTCGATATCAGAACTAATTTCAATATGATGATTATCATCAAGTAAAATTCTTCTATTACAAGTATTACATTGTAAAAATATTATTTTTTTGGTACCAAATTCTTGAATTTTTAATTTCCAACCTAATAACAGTATATTTAAAATTTTATCTTCATATTCATTATTTGTCCAATCTTTTAAAATTTTTAATTCTTCAAAATTTAAAATTTTTTTAAAATTACCCTTTAATTTATCTTTATTTGAATTTAATTCTTGTATAGTTTCCCCTAATTTTGTTAAAACCTCTTGATAATCATATGATGATATCAGATATGTAGAATATGGAGTTGGATTAATCGACCATGGACAATTTTCAGTATGATCAGTAGATAATTTATCCAAATATGAAGATATAAGCTTTGCATTTAACTCTTCTGAAAATTTTTCTTCTCTATCATTATCATCATTATCATCATCATCATCATCTATAGCTTGCTCATTTAATTTAATTATTAGCGAAGAATTACAAGTAACACACCTCAAGTGATTTTTACCGTTTACAGCAGGAAAACATATCCACCCATATCGTGCACATTCTAATGGAGTTAATCTATCATCATCTATAGTCCAATTTAAAACACCATAAGAATGAATTCTTCGTAATAACCTTGCCTTATCATAAGGACAATATGTATTGTATATGGAAAAATTTGGATTTTCTTTTAACGGAGAAGATCTCAACCTTTTGTTTTTAATTTCACTGAAAAACTCAATAGTCTTATTAGTAGATAATTTCTCATCAGAAAGTCTCTTTTTATTTGATGTAAGCCTTTCTATTGTTTTTGAAATATTCAACATTGGCTTTATTGAATATGGTGCAGTCGACGACACACCTGACCGAGTTCTACTTGGCGGCATAATAAAAAAAAACAACAACTAACACCTAACACCTAGCAACCAGCAACCAACAATATCACCTTTAGATTACCACTAATTCAATATCAATATCAATCAATATCAATATATATATGATACAATGTTAAACTGTTTTAACTGTTTCTAATATTCAACATCTGGGGCTATTAAAATTAAAGGGGCGTTTGCAGCCGCATTACATTCATTATGTTAGATAAAAAAGGCTTTATATATATAATTATTTATATTTATATAAATTTATATATCATCGTATTGACTAGTCATCACAATGGAACGGTCTGTAAGTCGACAACAATTAACGAGTCATTGCTATGAGATTCTACAGTTAACTCTAGTTTCCATTTTCTGTCATGTAAAGATTCTTCTGGGATACCATGGTTTGATTCATCTTTAAAATGCCATTTTACTTTACCATCTGCAGTATGTTCTTCAACAGATTTCCCAAAATCATATTCTACACCCGAATAACGTTTTATTTCAACTAATAAATGTCTATCGACATGATGATGTAAATTTCTAAGAAATTTTTTATTTAAATTTGTCATTGATGGTTTAAAATTATTTTCTGGATCATCATGACATTCATGAAGTACAAATGGGGGGTAATAAACTAATTGAGCATGAATATAATCAAATTCATTGTCCCAAGTTTCATCCTTAAGATAACTTTCAAAAGCTTCCAAATTATCAAATTTCCTCAATGGTGGATCATCAGACTTATGTTTTGGTCTATCCTTAATTTCAACTAACTTTGTCGGTTCTGTTGGTGCAGTGGTGTATCCGGACTTGTGTTCCTTATCTTTTTTTGTCATAGTGGGGAATTTTTTAAAATTATTATATAAATTTGAATTGTTATTTGTGTTAAGCAATAATTAGCTAAATGTTTGAGAATAAAAAAAAATCAAAAATTTTTCATTACCAATTTGAAAATTATTGTGGTTTATGTACTTTTTAAATTATCTATAAACTTTAAACAAGTGACCTATGGGAAAACTATGTGAGAAGAAACATGATCGAAAATTGATAACATGATTATTTTGAGTAGTGCAATTTTCCAATCTCAACGGGGCATCTAAACTCATCCTGCTGCAAGTTAAAACAAACTTGAGGCTAATTACGGATTGTCTGTACCATGCTAGCGATTTGTTAGAAAATCCCATTAGTACTAGCTGTTGCTGTGACCTTCGCCTTCTGGTAAATAGATGGAGATTCACCTAAAGCAGCAATATTATAGGTGTGATCAAAAAAATTTGTTAAAAAAAATTACCAAGACTTCTACTAAGACTACTACTGCTACTACTAAGGTTTATAGATTTTATCAGGTCATCATTATCAGGAAAAGTTAATCATCACACACACATCTTTCATTTTCATCATCATTAATGGTGTCATCCCATCATTTCAAATAGTAGTAGTAGTAGTAGTAAAAAAAATGGGTATTAAACCTTTATGTCCTCTTTCTTTCTTCCTTATCGGTGACCGGTCAAAAAGTTAACTCCGAGATGTTGTTGGCAGACGAAAATTTTCAACACATTAAAAATTTTCTAGCGGTATTATTAGCTATTATTATAATATATATATATATATATATATAATAGATTGGGATATTTGAAGATGTCAGTAGGAGGGATTAAAAGTTATCAACAATCTTTTTTAAATTCTGCGTTGGAATCAGATGCATTACAATTTGGTGAATTTGTTTTAAAATCAGGAAGGATTTCCCCATATTTTTTCAATCTGGGTTATTTTTCTACAGGGAAACTTTTATCAACTTTAGCAACAGCTTATGCACAGGCAATAATTGATTCAGGTATTGAATTTGATATTCTCTTCGGTCCTGCTTATAAAGGGATTCCATTATGTGCAGCCACTATTACTGAATTATATCGTCTTGGAGGTGAAAAGTATTCAAATGTTGGTTATTCGTTTAACAGAAAAGAGAAAAAAGATCATGGAGAAGGTGGTTCAATTGTAGGTTGTTCACTTGAAAATAAAAAGATTTTAATTATTGATGATGTGATTACTGCAGGTACTGCAATTAAGGAAGCTTTTCAACTTATCAAAGATGCCAAAGGTATTACCGTTGGTTGTATTATTGCTTTGGACAGACAAGAGACTACAGTTGATAGTGAATATAGTGCTACCCAAGTTGTCTCTAAAAGTTATGGTGTACCTGTTTTCAGTATTGTGAGTTTAAATGACATTGTTGCTTATTTAGATGGTAATGGTAAATTTACAGAAAATGAAAAATTAAAGCTCGATGCTTATAGGAAAAAATATTTACCAAAATCAAATTAAAAATCCAAGAAAAAAAATTAAAAATTAAAATTAGTTTTATATTTTTAAATAAATATTTTCTATTATCTCCTTACTTGCATATACTTATTTTTAGGTTTAGGAGGAGCAACAGGAATTTTAGGTTTCTCCATATATTCTTTTTCATAAATCATCTTAAATTGAGGAATCTTAATAAGTAAAGGAGAATATAAAGGAACAATCTCATTCATTTTAAAACCTTTAACTTTTGGAATTAATTCAGGTTCATATCCTTGTAAATCTTTTGATATGGCTTCAGGCGGTATATCTTTAACTTTCCTTAATGTTGTCTTATTTTCATCTCTAACAAGATATTCCCCAATCAATTCCAATAATCTTCTCTTATTATTGAATTTTTCCTTATACACAGCATCACCTTCTTCTTTTATCAACACTCTAACACGACCAGGATTACCAAAATCTTGAGGGTGTGATTTATCAACTTCTATAACACAAATTAATTTCATTGATCTACAAGCATCTAATATTGTCTTGGCTAATGGATTACTAACAGCATACTTCTTGTTCACTTTTCTACCTTCTTTACAACTTCTATTAATATCAAAATAACATGGATAAATTATTTGCATTCTTTTAATTTCTTCCATCTGCTCTTGAGTAAATGGTGTTTGTCTCTTTTGTTGTTGTGGCTGTTGTGATTCTCGA